CAGGACAGAGCGGAGTTTAGGGCTGTTGTACATAGGGTCGCTATGAGTCGCAAGCGACTCGATGGCACATAACAACAACAACAACAACAACAACAACAGTGGCAAGCTGAGTTGCTATCCTGAAGGCACCTGGAGGCAATCAGCTTCTCCAAAGTCTCCTCCCTTGTGCTTAGTTGCCTCTGAAAACTCGCCCCGAGGGTTAGCCATGGGTGGGTTTCTACTCTATGGTTCACAACAACAACAATGCAAGTCTTGCTCTTTTCAATTACTTGCTATGCTTTTGAAAATGGATAATGACCAAGGATGACAGAAGAATTAATGCTGATTTGTGATGTTGGAGAAGAGTACTGAATATCCATAGACTGCCAAAAGAATAAACAAATATGTTTTGGACAATTGTGACAAAAGAGCTCCTTTGAAGCAAGAATGGTGCAGCTTCCTCTCACATACTTCAGACATGTTGCTCGGAGTGGGCTAGGCCTTTGGAGGTCGGCATCCTTTCCTCCTTTAGGGGAGGAAAACCTTCAAGAAGATGGATTGAGAAAAAGGCAGTAACAATGTGGCCAACTATGTTGAAGATGGTGAGGATGTCACAGGACAGGGCCAGGTTCAGACAGTTGTAAAGGACATTAAAAATTCACAGTTCACGCCAGGGAAAATAACCCCAAGAACCTGCTATTCCCAACTGACGTGTAGCGTGGTGATGTAATGCATGCGGCCTGCTCTGGCAGCCAATCCGGACCTTGGCCTCATGCCGGCGGCCCCGCCCCGCCCGCTCTGGTCGTGGGGTTTGCTGGGGGTGGGGTTTGAGCCGCTCCCGGACGTGCTTGGCCGCCGCCGTGGCAGTGAGTGGACGTAGACTGTTCTGGCGGCCTAGGTCGGGCTTTCCGCTATCGCATCGCCTGGGGTGGGTCCACGGACGGCAGTGGACCCGGCTGGAGCTCACCCCTGGACGTTTGGGAACTCTGAAGGATACATTTCAGAACGTGGCTCATGTCGAGACTAAGGTGTTGATATTCAGCGAGTGCTGTGAAGTCTGTGATTCTGTGCCTTTGTCCCCCCCCCCCCCAACACCCGAGCGTCCCAGGCTTGTTGTCTGTCCCCCTGCCCCCAGTGGAAACGAAAAGGGCTTCTTCCTGCTGCCCTATACAGACCAGGAAGGAGCCTGGGGAAGAGGGAACTGGAATGAGTCCAGCTGGTCGCCTGAGGGGCTGTTGCTGTTGGGTTTGGAGGACGTGACCTGCGGTTGACAGCAACCCTGGCCTCGGGGTACCAGGTGTCAGCAGCCCCCTCAGGTGTGACAGTTCAGTACCATCATTGGAAATTCTCCTCAAACCACAGTCTTTAGAGCTCTCTCTCTCTGGTCTTGAGTCTGGCACCAAGAATGAACCTCAGCTTCAGATTTGTAAATGTAATACTTCCCTCTGGGGTTGATGGCGAGGAGCAGAAATAAAAAACATGTAGCCCAAGGTGCGCAACAGATATACATATATATCTACATACGAAGTAGCTACTACGCCCTGCGCGTACATTTTAAGATATATTTTAATTTGTTACAAGTCTACTAAGTTGAACAATTGCGTTTTTTTAAAGTAGTAAGTGTATAATTATGAATGGAACATTAATGTAATATTTAATTACTGAAACATTTTTCTTACCTTTATGCAGGCATAAAATACTTACTGATTTTTGGATATTGATCTTATATCCTACCACTCTACTAAACTGGCCCACTCACTGTTTTTATTTTTGGGCTAAAAACTTTTTTTTTCCCTCCAGAACTCAGTAAAAATTTACTGAGTACTTGTTGAATTCTTATATATTTTCAATGCAACAGTTGTTGGTTGTTTTTTTCAAAAATTTTTATTATTAATTTCAGTGAAAATTTACAGAGACTTTGGATTTCCATTCATTCATTGCTGCATTTTTCTCCCCTCCCAACCCTCCCCCAATCCCCCCAGTACACTCCCCTCTTGGAAAGTAAAAGAAAAATTTTTTCATTGTTTTACAATCCCTCCCCCCAGGTCTACTCCACTAAGCAGCCTTCGCTCTGGACTCCTGTCATGACAAAAATACCTAATCACATATCCCTTTTAAACAGTTTTCTCCCTCATCTGTTTCAATGCAGTATACATTATTGAACCCATCTTTCTCAGTCTCCCTCCGAACCCCAAGGTCAGTCCTGTTTTACAACAGTGGCACCATGCAGTATTTGTCCTTTTGTGACTGAGATACTTCACTCAGCATAATGTCCTCCAGGGTCACCCATTTTGAATAATATTGCATGAGTTCCTTGTTTTTCAATGCAGCGTAGTATTCCATTGTGTGACTATACCACAGCTTCTCTATCCATTTGTTTGTTGATGGGCACTTAGATTGTTTCCCACTCCTTGCTGTTGTGAACAAAGCTGTGATAAACATGGGTATGCAGTTATATGCTTGGGTGGTAGTTATGGTCTCTTTAGGGTGTATTCCCAGTTGTGGAATTGCTGGGTCAAATGGTATCTCTATTTGCAACTTTTTGAGAAAGCACCATACTGCCTTTCACAGTGGTTGCACCATTAAACTGGCCTACTAACTTGACAGTTTTTTGGTTGAGTCTGGGATTTTCTGTGTACACTATTATATCATCTGCATATAACAACAATTTAACCATCTCTTTGCAGATCTGGATGTCTTTTATTTCTTTCTCTTGTCATACTGCCCTAGCAAGTACTTCCAATACAATATTGAATAGAAGTGGTGACTGTGGACATCCTTGTCTGGTCCCTGTTTGCAAGGAAAATGCTTTTAGTCTTTCTCCATTGAGAATGATGTTGGCTTTTGGTTTTGCATGTATACTTTTCACTATGTTGAGGAAATTCCCTTCTATTCCAGTTTTGCTGACTGTCAGGCATACAATACTTAGGAAATCATGTTTAAATACCTCATAAGTGTGACCGTTTTCCCTGAATATATTTTTATAAGTGTGTGGTGTGTTTAGCTCCCATCTGAATTGCTATTTTAATTAGAAGTAAGTTTGGAAAGTTTGCAGATAGTTACATCTTTGATAGTTTAATCTTAGGGAACAGATTTAGGTGGTAAAACTAGAGAAAGTCATTGCTATTGTGTCAGAAGCAACTCCTAGCTAGACCCTTCAGTGGATTTTCAGAGGTTCTAAATTACCCGGAAGAGATGACCTCTCTTTCCCTGGAGCAGCCTTATCCACTTGTCCACCAGAGTACTCTGGCTGGTAGAGGATGCTGATATACACATTCAATCATTTAGCAGGTGTTTATTAACATGGATAATTTCTCTTAACAATAATTAGTGGTAGTTTCTGAAAGTCAGCCATGAGTTGGTTCCAATTCAATGGTACACAACAACAACAACAGTTCCTGTAAGGTTGTTGTGTAACGTTGAGTTGGAACCAACCCATGGCTAACCCTCCAGTCCAGTGGGTTTTCAGACTGTAAATTGCACAGGAAATTGTCTATTCTTCTCCTAAAAAGCAGCTGGTAGATTCAAACCGCGGGCCTCTCTCAGGATTGCAGTGCAACTTCTTGCCACAAGGCCAACCAGAGATTTTTTTTTTAAATTTTTTATTATTTTTTGTTTGTGTATACCGTCAAATTGGATCTGACTGGTACAGGAGGAGACTGACCCTCCTTCTCCAGCAGAGCATCTGGTTGATTTGAACCGCACACCTCTGGGACTGCAGTGCATCTTCTTGCCAGTAGGCCACCAGAGCTCCGAACCAGAGATTTTAAGCATAAACGAAGAGGATATAGTCCTAAAATGGAAGGCAATAGATGAAAGGCTATATTAAAAGTAAGTAATCAGGGGCCTCTCCAGATTATTGAGGAGCAGTGATGTCAATTTGAAGACTAAGGTGCGCCTGATTCAAGGCATGATCTTTTCAATCACTTGCTTTGCAGCTAAGAAGTGGACAAAAAAATATGAATGACAGAAGAGGAGTTGATGCCTTTGAGAGGAGTACTGAATAACGCAAGGACTACTAAAATAACAAACAGATGTGTCTTGGATAAGGTGCAGCCAGAGTACTTCTTGGAGACAAAGTTGGTGACTAAAGTTATTCTTCATGCTTAGGAAAGTTGAGGGATGGAGGAGGACAGGAAGACCTTCAAGCAGGTGGGATTTTCAAAGTGACTGTGACAGTGGGCTTGAGTGTCAGATATTGTGAGGATGGCACAGGATAGGACAGGATTTAGATTTGTTGTTCATAGGATTGCTATGAATCAGTTTTGATCGAGGACACCTAACAACAACAGCCACCATCCTCCTGCCAAAGACAGATATGTTTGTTCTTTTGGCTGTTTAGGACCCATTAAGTTAAGTACTCTATACCATAATTCAAAAGCATTAATCATGTTGAAATTCCCAGAACCTAGTATAGCAAATAGTTGCATTTAATATGTATATGAAATTAATGAATTGGGGGGAGGAACCCCAAAATAAAACTAAGACAGGTTTCAGCTCAAAAGGATTAAGATATATATAGATAGAGATAGAGATAGAGACAGAGGTAGATAGATATAGATAGATATAGATATAGATATATAGAGATATATATATAATAAAACCCTCTCCTATCAAGGCACAATAGCTAGATTATAAAAAGTCAGTCCTAGCCATGTTCTGTGCACAACAGACATATTGTAAATAAAAGATATATGAAGAATGAAAAGAAATTTGCGGGTAAAGTATTCTGTGCAAAGAGCAAGCATAAGAAAACTGGAGTGTTACTATCTGACAAAGCAGACTTCAAGACAGAGAAATAAAGACGGGCATTACTTCATGAGAAATGGGTCAACTAACCAAGGTTACATAACAATCTTAAATGTGAATGTCAGGTCTAATGAGATCTCAATCATAGTTGGAAATTTTAACATCTTAAAATTTAGAATCTGTTACCCATAAACAGGAGCACAGGTGGCCTAATGGTAAAGAATTGCTCTGTGCCAACCCAAAGGCATGCAGTTCGACTTCACCAGCTGCTCCTTGGGAGAAAAATGTACAATTTCCTCCTGTGCAATTTACTTCCTTTGAAAATCCATTGGAGGGGCCACTATGGATCGGTTCCAGTTCAATGGTACACAACAGCAACAATCCATAGATTTTCACTACAAGAAATGCTAAAAGGTGTTGTCCACTTCAGGCAAAACTCAGATCTGGAGAAAGGCACAAAAAACTGATTAATGAACGAATGCATAATTCTAGGGTTGCTCTAAAAGAACAAGTAAACAAAATTTTTAAAATTAGTAATAATATCAATTAGGAAATAGAAAACATGCACAATACCATTATATGTCTTGGTCCCACTGAAATTTACAAATTGTAAACCCAACAACTGTGGAATACATATTCAGTGCCTATGAAATATTCCCTGTGACAGACAGAGCATATGCTTAATAAATTCTTAAGACTGGATGCTTACTTTGTATATTTTCTGACCCTGCAGCAGGTTTTCACAGGTAGTAAATCACATGGGAGATTCCACATCCGTCTCTCCAGGAGCTGGTGGAATTGTACCTCATGTTGAGATAGTGGGGACAGGACAGGACAGGGCAAGATTCTGATCTACTTAAGAGGTTGCTGTATGTTCTAGTTGACTTGATGGCACTTAATAAAAACAACAACAACAAGACAAAGTGCTTGTGAGCAAATATTGTAGATTTTGTTGTTGTTGTTATGTGCCATCGAGTCGTTTCCGACTCATAGCGACCCTATGCACAACAGCTCTAAACCCTGCTCTATCCTGCGCCAAC